TATAATATATATATATAAATATATTATATGTTATGTATATGTTATATATATATTATATATATATTATATATATATATATATTATATATATATATATACACACACACAACATACATACATACATACATACATACATGCATACACATACATACATACATACATACATACATACATACATACATACATACATACATACATACATACATACATACATACGCACACAGGAAAATGAAGACAATGTGGGAAGTTTGTACAATACGTGGTGTTCTGAACTGTTTGACAATATACCCTGTGATGTTCGTTTTTAACAACTGGATTTGTTTCAGTTTCTGTTTATAAAAGAAGTAAATCCCATGTAATTTAACTTATATTAAACCCATTATCATCTATGGAACATCTGTATAACTTATGATCATTTATAAAATAATTGAGCTAAAAAATAATATGATCCACTTTTAACACCACAATCCACAAAAAAGCGGACATCATTTCAATAATAACCCCAGACCTGAGACTCAATGAACACAAGAATGTATAACTAATTTGTGGTAAAATTATGCTGAAATCAAAAAGTCACATTTTTATTAGTTCAAAATTATAATTTAAAGTCATAAATACTAATTGGGACACATGGGTTGTCTTAATATTTTACAAATATTACCAAAAATAAAATTAAGTTTAAAACTGGATTGAACACAAATATGAGTACAGAATGTTTTGGCAAGTAAGGTAATGTGGTGGCAATAGTGATGAGCAGGCAACCTGGCAGTCCTATGTTCAAATCCTTACTTGGAAGGTATGTCACAGATTGGCATTCAATTTTATTAAAAAAAAAAAAAAAAAAAAAAAAGACTAAATACACAGAAAAATATAAATAAAAGCCCAGCATATCCAAAAAAAACGAAATAGGCAAGGGGGTAAAACTCAGCAGTTTTTTGTGATAATACAGAGATGAAACATTTCTTGTCTAATATATGATCAAATGTGACTCACAGCCCACTTTAGTAATACATGGGCCTGCTTTTAAATGTTTTTTGATAGGCCAGCAAGACAATTCAGGAGAGCATAATTATTCATCATTAAAACATAGGAAATATACATACCAGACTACAGCTATCACAATTACCACAAATCTAGTGAACTAATGACAAATAATGAATAAAAAGGCACAATACCATTACTGGAACAATACACACATAACCCACACAAAGGAGAACTAACAAGTGACTAATTAATGGTCCAAGTCAGACTGAAATGGCGTCGTAAGTTTTATTCCCCTATGTGCAAGTTATTTCTGTAATGATAAATAATAATAATAATAATAATAATAATAATATAATTTTACAAAATAAATAATTGTTGTGCACTACAAGATGGACGATCAAGGATGTGAAGTCTCTAAACATGGTCTTTTTTGTGGAACTGACAAAACGTCTTCCAATTTGCGCTTTTCATTATTAATGTTCATATTGGATACTGGATGGGTGGAATTTGATGATGGCAAGCTGATTTTCAAAGTTGGTTGCCCTAAATTCTTTGCTTCTACATCATTATCATCATCATCCAAGCACACTACCTCGCTATCATTATCTTCTTCAGTGTTAAAGCATCCAAAGTCCTCACTGTCAATGACTGGAACATCTGAAATACAATTACATTATGGCATTATAATATGAGCAAAAATGCAGTAGCACATCCCCAACTTGTTATGTTAATCTTTTACAAGCTTGGCACATTGGAACCAATTAATGACTTTCTAATAGTCACTGCAGGCCACCCAGTTTGCTTACATTCTCCATGAGCAAGACTCTCCATTATGTCTTCAAATTTGAAGATGCCATATTAATAATGATAATAATAACACACAATTCTAATCACTCTGAGGTGCATTAACCCTTTCAGGGTTTCCGACATACTAGTATGGCTTACGCACCAGGGTTATTGACGTACTAGTACGCCTAAATTCTAGCGCCTTCAAATCTAGCAAGAGAAAGCTGGTAGGCCTACATATGAAAGAATGGATCTATGAGGTCAGTGTGCACAGTATAAAAAAATCTTACAGCACACAGTGCGTAATGAGAAAAAAAAACTGACCGTGTTTTTGGTTTAAAACAGCAACTTTGCACTGTATTTTCGTATGGTATGGTATTTATAGTTATATTCTAGTTTTCCTGGTCTCATTTTATAGAATGGAAGACATATTACAGAAATTGAGATGATTTTGATTGGTTCACAATGAAAAATACTTTGAAATTGAGCTCAAAGTAGCAGAAATGTTTGATTTTTCCCAAAGTTCAAAAGTAAACAAATCATGCCACACGTCCTATACACGTCAACTGGCGAGTCTAATATTCTTTCACAAGTGCGCTGATATTATTTATACCATTTATACACTAATAGAGTAGTCTGCATAACAGTAAATCTTCTATTTTTTTGAGAATAAAAATTCAAAGTGGAAAGCAAAAGAACTGTAAGAGGGGTCTGGGGACGTGACTAATGAACAGAGAAAATGTTATTTTAGTGCCAAGAATGTCTGTCTTGTTTATCTGAACCCTATTTGGAAATTGGCATCTTTTGAAATTTGAGTGAAATTGGCAAAATTGCTAATTTCTGACCACTTTATTGGATAGTTGAAATCAGTAAATGGGTGGTTTCTTGTACTCATTCAATAGAAAAAAATGGAGTTTTAGCGAAATACTTATGATTTTTGTCGACCAGTATACTGGAATTGGCTGAAAATAAGGCTCAAAGTGGGCAAAATCGCCAATGCATAAACATTGTTGAAACCGCTAACTTCACAAGAGCATAATTCCCTAAGTTTTCCATCATATTTCATACTTTTGGTGTCATGATCAGGAAAAGATTCTGTCTTTTCATAAGAAAAAACAATTTTTTTTTTTCCGAAAAATTTTCAACCCTGAGAACAAGTTTAGGAGAGGGCCTCTCAACCCCGAAAGGGTTAAATGTTGTATATTACGTCAACCCTCTGAGGGTTGAGACCCTCGATCCTGAACTCCCACTCAGGGTCGGAGAAAAAAAATTATTTTTCTTATGAAATGATAGAGAATCTTTTCCAGATGGTAATGACACCAAAAGTGTGAAATTTGATGGAAAACTTACGGAATTATGCTCTCAAAAAGTTAGTGGTCTTGACGACATTTATGCATCAGTGATTTCACCCACTTTGAGCCCTATTTTCAGCCAATTCCTATGTTCAATTTGGCCAATTTCACACAAATTTCAAAAGCTGCTAATTTCAAAATAGGGTCCCGAATAAACAAGACAGACATTCCTGGAACTAAAATAACATTTTCTCTGTTCATTCGTCACATCTCCAGGCCCCACTTATATTACTCTTGCTTTCCATTTTGAATTTATATTTTCACAAAAAAATAGAAGATTTACTGTTATGCAGACTACTGCATTATTGTAAAAATGGTATAAATAATATCAGCACACTTGTGAAAGAATATCAAACTCACCAGTCGACATGTATTGGATGTGTGGCATGATCTGTTTACTCTTGAACATCAGCAAAAATCTACGGCATATGCTGTCAGTGGCCCTGAAACCCAGCAGAAGAAGATCAGCAAAAATCGAACATTTCTGCTAATCTGAGCTCAATTTCAAAGTACTTTTCATTGTGAAACCAATCAAAATCATCTCTATTTCTGTAATATAGCTTCCATTCTATCAAATGAGACCAAGAAAATGAGAATACAACCATAAATACCATATGACAATACACTGCAAAGTTACTGTTTTAAACCAAAACACAATTGGAGTTTTTTTCTTCTCATGCACTGCGTGCTGCAGGACTTTTTTTTTATACTGCGCACACTGACCACACAGACCCATTCTTTCATAAAAAAATTGTGATCACTAGTTACCGAGATATAGAGGCATGAAGTTGACAGAAAGTGAACTGCTTACAGCAATGTCGGAGACTGCCTCTCACTCAGTAATATTATTTTTACTTTTATTCTAATTTTTTTCTTTTCTTTTCTAAAAATTTATTTTTTTTCAAGTAACTTTTGTGGCCTGTGAGACCAATATAATGCATAACGTATATATATCCACTCATTGTATGCAGCACAATAACTGCACAAACATTGTTATCACTATCATGTTTACATAACTTGTTTACACAAACCCACACTGCCTTCCACACCCACACCATCTTCCCCACCACCCATGCTGCCTTCCCCAACACCCACAATGTCTTCCCCAGCACCCATGCTGGAAATAAGTCACTGACTTTTTTGGGTTATTCTAGGTTCTCTACACATGCCACTATGCATGATAATGTATCTAATTGTATTTGTGTATACCTGAATAAACTTACTTGCTTACACACTGTCTTCCCAACCACCCACACTATCTTCCCCACCATCCATGCTGTCTTCCCCACCATCCAAGCTGCCTTTCCCACTATCGAAGCTGCCTTCCCCAACACCCAAGCTGCCTTTCCTTTTCACTATCTTTATCTGGTATCCTGGGCATTGCTTTCAGTCACAAATTCCTCAAAACCATGAAATTCATCTTCACTGACACTTCCATCAGTGTTAGAACTATAACTTGGGAAGAGTCAAAAATTCGCCTGGGAGTGAGATCAATCTTACTGCAAAGCATGGTAAACAAGAGCTACAGGTCTCCCTCAACATTCGCGAGGGTTAGGGGATTAAGAACCTCGCAAATGTTGACAACTCACGAATGTTTGGTGCCACAATATATTGTAGGGAAATAGCCTAACAATACTGCTTCCTTAACCTATTAAACCATGAACAATCATAAAACACATGAAAACATCGTAAAATATTGTACTAGTGCCAGCCCTTTGGTAAAGAAGGTGAGTAAGACTACAGAATTCAAGAAAGAACTTGTAGCAGAGTACCAAAGTGGAGGAGGAAGAGAGAGGGGAGAATGTGCCTTCTTCAGTGATTCTACGATATGTGCGATACTACAGCACCACGAGTCGATAAAGGCTATAGCACCAGCCAGCAATAAAGTGTAGCATTAACAGTGTAGCAAGTAAGTTAAGCGATTAATCGATAGAAAAAAGACATCATGAACCTAACTCCTCCAATGTCGTTGGAGGTATACAGGGCGACTGACTAACACCGCCGCCTCTGCTGCCACCTTCACTACCACTATGTAAGGCTTATCTTTCAGTGGCTCTTATACACCCAACAACAACAACACAGCAACACTCGTGACATACTTAATGACATATTTTATTCATTCTAGAGTATATGTCATGTTTCTATGTTATTAATATTGTTTATAATGTCATATTGAAGGTAGGATTGCTAGTGTCCTCTTTCCTGTCTCATGAACATGCAAGGTTTCAGGTACGTCTTGCAACTTCTACTTACACTTAGGTCACACTACACATACATGTACAAGCATATATATATATACATACCCCTCTGGGTTTTCTTCTATTTTCTTTCTAGTTCTTGTTCTTGTTTATTTTCTCTTATCTCCATGGGGAAGTGGAACAGAATTCTTCCTCCATAAGCCATGCGTGTCGTAAGAGGCGACTAAATTGCCGGGAGCAAGGGGCTAGTGACCCCTTCTCCTGTATAAATTACTAAATTTGAAAAGAGAAGCTTTTGTTTTTCTTTTTGGGCCACCCTGCCTTGGTGGGATACGACCGGTTTGTTGAAAGAAAGAAAGAAAGGAATGTCATATTGGATGAATTGTGATAGATAAATAAGCCATAGAGCTGATATTAGTGTCTTATTGAAGGACGATCTTGTCCTATCTCCAAACAAACTCTGCAACTCCCACAATTCCTAACATAAGTAATGACATACAGTGGACCCCCGGTTAACGATATTTTTTCACTCCATAAGTATGTTCAGGTGCCAGTACTGACCGAATTTATTCCCATAAGGAATATTGTGAAGTAGATTAGTCCATTTCAGACCCCCAAACATACACGTACAAACGCACTTATATAAATACACTTACATAATTGGTCGCATTCGGAGGTAATCGTTATGCGGGGGTCCACTGTATTTTAAATGTGAATGGGCGGCTGGGAATTCACGAATGTTCGAAGCCCGCGAAAGTGGAAAATGCGAATGTTGAGGGAGACCTGTACAAAAATGGCGTTCCCACAATGCAATGTGGGTGCCCCAATTTTTTTTTATACTGCACACACTGACCACGCAGACACATTTTCTCACTTGTAGGTCTACCAGCTTTCTTCCACTAGATTTGAAGCCCTCTAGAATTTTGGCGTAGTACTACGGCACCAACATTGGCTCGTAAGCCGTAATACTACAGCACCAACAGTGAAAGGGTTAAGTAATGAGTGTACCATATATGCATTTTATCGCTCTATGACACTTTAAATGTCACAGAATATTAGAACGGGTGGGTTGGCTACCACACCTGACTTCTTACGATAAATACTACTCACCTCTCAACCTACATTAAGACTACAAATATTTTGAGGTACGAAATGAGTGACTGTGTGTATCTTACTTTTTATTGTTTTTTAATGCCTAGTTCTATTGCTAACATAATATATGTTAGTGTAAGCTTGTTATCTGGCATTTATATGCCTTTATATGTGGGAAAAATGGCACTCTGCTTTCCGGCAATGTCCGCTTCCAATGGTAGCCTGGAAC